GCGTTCACATGTCAAATCGGAATATCGTCCGCTCTAGGCCGCTCTGTATATTCGCAATAGCTGTCTTTCAACCATAACGTATGCTAATTGTGTTTAAATATTCACAACAAGTTAACGCTTGCACAAACTATATCTATCTGTAATACTCTTCTAAAATACACGAAGCCAAACCATTAATCATAGGTAGGAATTCAACTTGAACTAATTACTTCGACATAATAAAGGGAATCTTATCGCGTGTTTATTAAAAAAATTCCCCCTAAAATTTAACAGGAAAGCTACGTTTAGTGTTCTCCGCGATAGCATTGAAATAACTCAGGTCGCGTGAAGCGGTGGTGAGCAAATAAGGCGTCCGGCGTCAGCGACGGAGGGCCGATAAGACCCCGGTGTGACGTGCTAACGGTCGGCAGCGCTAGGGTCAACATATTGATGTTTATTGCCGGATATGTTGCAGGTATTATGGAATGCCTTTAGATAAAATCACGTAAAAGACGGTATTGGAGTGTTTCCAAACAGAAATAGATATAATTTTGATACGCCATACTTTAAATCAACCTTATTTTAAGTTGACTTATTCTAACCACAAGTTTATACTGTCGAAATGCACATAAACATTAGCTTTAAGGACAAAAGGTAGTGTACTAATTATGTTCAAGGGAAATTCTCAGTAATATCAAAACATGGTCACCCTTGCACTCTCGCCTGAAAAATGGTCATAAGTCAAAACGCCATCGACCGTTGCGCTTTATAATTTTTTTGCACGAAATTATTCTAGTAAGCACATTAAATGTACAATCGAATAACTGAATTTTAGGGGCTATGTGTTCTTTCAGACTATCCTCTACACATAATTCAAATTTCATCAAGATCCGTTCAGCAGTTTAGGCTACTAACTGTAACAAACATCCATCTAAACTTTCGCTTTTATTGATAATAACATTCGAACTAATCGACAGTATGTCACAATTCATAAAAAAAAATACAATTTCTCTGATTTCTCTTACAATAATCAGCATTTACACATTACACGATACATTTCTCAGCGGGTGATGTGACAGGTTACGCGCGTTAAGGACAGGCCAGCGAACATGTCTCATACACGACATAAACAAGGCCACAGCTGATTGACGGAAAAACCGACAAACCTCCGCGGGGCGTACTCTACATACACGTGTTCACTTAAGTTTCTACTGAAACAACCAATTGTTATTTTAGTTACAAGAACTATAAAAGAGATGGGTTGTGTCTTTAGGCAGTGGAGGCTCAAGTAAAATAATCGCTTAGAAACAAAGTACGATAGATCAAATGAAATATAATCGATAGATTGGGTGGAATAATGACCTAGAAGGACCCTTTTCTTTATCGGTCTTATGGTAAAGTTCACTTTCAACACATTCTGTAGTGCTTAATTTATTTGAATAGTAAAAAAAAGTCCAAAACTACAAAGCAATATAAACTTCTATTCAAATCAGTATTAACAAACACACTTGTTAATCTTACAAAGCCTATCTATTACGTCCGGTCGTTAAGTGAGATAGCGAGGAGGCCGCAAAGTTCACAGGACTATTTGCTGACCACGCATAGTCTACTTAGCGGATTAACCCTCGACTAAAAGCTAGCTTCGGGCATTCATTTAAACTTTCAAAGGATTACTTCCTAATGGGAATTTAGACTGGACTATTCAACGATTATGGAAAACTAGCTATCGCCCGCGACTCCATCAGCGCGAAATTAAAAAAAATAGAAGCTTTAATTCTTAAAGATTACGTTCTACATCTATGTCCAACTTCAACGAGATCCATTGAGTTGTTCTGGAGATAACTAGTAACAAACCTCTACCCATCTGTCTAAAATTTCGCATTTATAATATTAGTAAGACTTAGAAACAAAAAGCGTTTCGATAGTGGTTACCACAAATATAATATAGCTTTAAATAATACAATAGCTATTCTATCAAACATTTAGATCAAGCCAGAGTTTTTTATTTTAATTAAGCTTTGATTGGTCGAGTGAATAATCATATAGAGTCGGCAGCCTCTTAACGCCGTGTCTTACAATTATTTACTCTGTGTTGAGTATCATTATTGCCACTTTTATAGGGGCAGCGCTTTATGGCGGTATCCGCCGGCGACCGTTAATCTCTTTTATTATATTATCTTAATACAATATTGCTGTATTACAAACCTTTTGTTAAATGTTTCATTGATTCAAAAACAATACCACTTACCACAAATAATGTGAAAAAAATACTCAAATCTCCGCATCTTTACTTTACAAAAAAATATTCTATTCACACCCTTATGTGCATTAGTCATCTTTAGCCTAAAATTACGAAAAATTTTAGATGAAAAACATGAACATCTGAGGCCTATTTTTCCACACAAAGATAAATATCATAGTTCCAAAGTTTCTCGATAATCAATCGATACTGTAAAATATCGATACTGACATCAATACATCGATATTGTGCCAACCCTAAAAGACAGCGGGCTATCTACAGTACCGGTGGGCGGGACACGAACTGGATGCGGGTAAAAAACTGCCGGCACGAGCTCCCTCAAATTATATTACCTCGGACTGCTTGTTTGCAGCGCTCCGCTTTTCCAGTTACAATAATGGCATTAACCACTTAACTTTGAAGCTTCAATATAAACGATTTGATTTACGAAATATCCTACTGTTAAGTTAGGTTGTACATCATCGTTATCAACTTGCTCTCGTCTCTACGGAATGTCGGCACAATATGTGCTGCTCTTCCATACATCTTTATCAGCCGTCTAATCTGAATTCACTACCTTCTTAAGCATATCCTCTTTCACGCAATCCATACATACTTTCTTCGGTCTTCCCCTACACCTGTAGCCATCCACATTAAATCTTAACACTTTCTGGCTTATGTCATCATGTTCCTCCTTATCCTTCTCCCGTAGAGTCGGCGCAACAGGTTTTCGTCATCCACATAACTCTACCATATGTCATCTCAGTCCCTTCACTTACCGGTGTACCCTTCCACACTCATAACTAACGTTCTCCTTGTAACATGCGATTCATTCCTCCTTATAATATGCCCATAAAATTATATACAGCAAGTGCCTTGCCCTGAAATATACTAAAAACGTGACTGATTAAAAACAGTAGAAATAACGAAATGTTAAAAGACGAACGGCGAGAATATCCGATGTCTTTAGACACCTGAAGTCGAACCACGCCACACCGCCCCCGGCAGCTCGCGAATCAAATAACTTGGCCGCTTTTGTTATGTTAATGCCTCGTCGAAATTATCCGTTCCCCGCATAATCCTCAAACAAATAAAAAAAGTTCGCATCGCCACATAAAACCTCGCTTTTATTATCTACTCCACCTGAAATCTATACCCTTCGCCGCTTTTACGTGAATAATAAACTTAAGAAACTTCTACGAAGATCCTATTACTTGGCAGATTTTAAATGAAACTTTGTTTTACCAATCAAACAAAAAGCTTGTATCGGTATCAAAAATACGTGAATTTCCACTAACAATATGGTTATACTAAAACATTGATGTGTCTGTTCTTTAAAAGACAATTACATTGCTAAAAACATCTTTTTAATCAAGTATTTTGGGATTGAAAATCCACAGGAACACATATCGATGTAACAACAGATTTAGAAAACTATTTCTTATGGACCAATTTCAAAAATCTTCCCCCATTGAAAAGCTACATAACCACTAAGTAACAAAGGCAATTTTCTCTTTTTTTTTTTTAATTCTATGCGGACGAAGTCGCAAGCAACAGCTAGTCATGCTCAAACTTCTATGACTACAAATTTGAATCTAAATCTATCATGTAGTCTAATTTGTATTTATAAAGCACCCTCTAAGGGCTCATTGAGAGTGTCGTGTCGTCTCCCTCACACCCCTGTCTTCAGCGCGGGCAAATCCGAACAAAATTAAATCGAATTTCTACCCGAACGAGTCGAAGAATCTTGGGGGCCCTTTGAGAATGGAATGTCCGTTATTCGAGACACGATCAAACGGATTGGCGTATCGATACATGCGTATAGATAACGTTAGCCAATTAAACTATATACGATATGTACAATTAAGTAGAATTGAAATAAGGTGTATTTTGGTCTGGCAATTTGCAGCGAAAACAGAGTGACAGTTTGACAGATTTCCATGTTCATTGTTCTAATTCATAATAGTTATTAACATATTGCTTAAAAACATCTTTGATTTGAACTTAAATTAGGTCATTTATTTAATGTGAACCTTTTAAGTTTGGCCCGTAATCATTTCACAAGTTTACAGTTAATATTGTTTCAAGCTTTATTAAGGCAACAGATTAAATACTTTTTTAAATTGTTCTGTCAATGTAATCTCACAATAACAACGGAAAGATTTGATTGTTCGTTTGTATATAGACATTGAAACTACTGAACCGACTTGAAAAAATCTTTTGCCATTACCACTGACTCTTTTTTTTACGACTTAAAAAGTCCTAAAGGAAAGATTAATACCGTTACCAAAATTAACAGTTTATATTACAGACGTTTAATTAAAATATGTTCATAAGAGTCCTCCTATTAAATTTTGAGAGGCGCACCGAAATTGTTATGCAATAAAACGAAGAGGATTCTTGTTAGAGTAACAACTTTCGTAACATTTTAGTCTCAAAAAAATGTCATTCGACAAAAGATTAACGTTTTAAAATACCTTAATCAAGCTAAATTTTATTTACCGTACAACATAACTATAGTTTATTTTACAAAATTACTACCCTTTGTAGATAAATGAGAGATGGAAAACATTTTGATACATATTAATACAAACAAAAAAAAACCACACATTTTTGCCTAAATGCCTCCTTTCAGACTACGTCTCTACCTGTGCCTAGTTTCATTCACCTCCGTTCAGACTTTACGGAACTGGTAACAAATGAATATGTGAACGAAACGAATGACAATTTTCTGTGAGTATTTCTGTAGTCAAACGATTAAAAGTGACGTTGTATTACTCACATGGCGCGGGGCTGGGGGGCTCAGCACAGATGCCGATGGATTTGCTGGGGTCGTCGAGCAGCGTCTGTGCGATCTGGTAGTCGCCGAGTTTGATCTGGATCTGCTGGCTCACGCGGTCCCGGTTGCCCACAACCTACAAACAAAATGAATACTTAATGTAGTATATGGCAACACTGTTGTCTACAGTCGGCATATGACAACAAGACAGTCCTATCCGAGCCACCGACGGGAACGGACGTCATACATTTAAGATAGAGAATTTAAGTTACATTTTATTTGACTGGCTCTGCCCAAGAAATAGAGTCAAAAACACATGATTCTAAATACAATGTCCCTAGATGTGCTTGGAAAATATACTGTTGAGGGCGTAAGGCAGAACTTCCGTTGAAACAAATTCAATCGACGATAAAAATTTTAATTTTCTTCAATTACTCTATATTTACTTAGACTGTTTCATGAATTTAATTCAAATAAAACCATATTTAATAAAAAAAATACACATAACAACTTCATCTGTACACCATTGTTAATCAACACGCAACACTCGCATATTTATATACGACAGTAAAAAACTACAGTATCAGAGTACAAAATAATACCTTCTCTTTGTTCTCGTATAAAAAAACATGAAATGAAAGCGCATATTCATATAGACTTTGTTCTGCAGCTGTAACAGTAGCGAATGAGAGATTCGTTAAGTCCCGAGCGGCGAGCGCGGTTTTCACATCCCCCTAGCACACTGCCGCCAATCCAAAACGGACACAAAATGAAACAAAACACTACCAACTAAGCGAATTGTGAAAAAGTACTACTGATGGCCGGTTTCCCAGCTACTTTGAACTATTCGGCAGTGTTATTGGTTCAACTACCTCATGACACGTGTCCGAACGTAACTTGCGTTTTACACCTAGATAACTTGGTTGAACACAGCATAAGTAGGTTAATTATGTAGTATCGTATATATATATCTTATAATATCTTTGTCGTTGATGACGTGACGTCACGTCTTGATCACTTTGCGTAACAAAAGCGAAATCCAAATTCAAGCAAAATCAAGATGCAATTATATTTCGCGATGAGGTCGATGTTGACAGAATTCTGTAACTAATTCTGCTATCACAGTTTGTTCCTTATTCAACGCGGTTCTTGGCATGATTATTCGGTTCAAACTGAACATTGCGGAGCGAAATTCTTTCGAATTTTTCCGTTACACTCTGCTTTCTTACGTCAGTGTGACAGGGGCGTAAGTCCCGGCGGCGAGCGTGGTTACTACGTCAAACATTCACGATTCACGTAATGTATTTGCCGTCCACAAACTAGTGTAATAACGTGACGTGCAATGTGTCTGGAAATTATCGCTATGATGTAATGCTTAGCGCTAATTGTAACTTCAGCTGCTAGACTCAATATTACGTTACTTCACTAGACAGTGAAAATTTTAGACGTATGCTTACAAAATAATGAAAATCTTAAAACATTAAGACAGCCGTAACAAAATTGATATAATATGGTAATTAAGATTATTATCTGAATAAATAAATAAACAAATATTTTCTGCACATCGCAAAACCATATGTTGTAAACAATTACACTCTTTGCTTGATATTTAAAAAAACATTTCATCGTCTGACAATTAACGAATGGTCAAATAAAAACGCGTTAAATGGACTTGTTTTTCTTATCACTAGTAACGTCATAACCTATTTATATTTTACATACTTCGTCTAATTGGCAATAAACAAGGCGAGCAACACATTAAAACACGTGAACGACTTACACACATGCGCATTGCTCGACGTCGCGTCGTTTAATGAAGCTCGCTGGAGAACTACGACCAGACATTTAATCGTTTAATTACTAGTTTCATGACATTGGAAAGATACGTTCGTTTACAATTTAAATGTATGAAAACTATTCATGGAAACAATACTAACAGAAGTTAATTACCAAATGTCTTATGACTTTATAGATGATTAGCTCTTTCCGTGCAGCTTCATCCAAATAAACACTTCATTACAGTTTTACAGCTGTGAAATTTTCAATTGCAAATTCCAAAATTCAAATGCACAAATGACAACCAAGGCAAGCTTGCTTCATGTTGGCAATTTGTAGTTTATGGTTCCTAACGCACATGTAGGTTTTCCAATTTATATACCCCTAAGTTTAATAGTGTGAAAATATATATCCTAAAGTGTGTCGTAAGTAGGGCTGTTATTAAAAAAGGTATTATTCAATAATATGCTGTGATTGCAGACATTCTACGTCACGAAGTAGTGTTTTTACGCTTTGTTATATTAGTATACATAGATAACATTTAAAGGCAGTTTACATACGAAGTTTGTTGATCAAAACGGTAATAACCATTTGCGAATTTTCCCGCGAAAATATAAATCATACAAACATTAATTAATATATTTATTCAATGGACAATTCATCATTATCAAATTCTTAAATCGCACAAATGTCTTCTATTTCATAACACAAATTCGCTTTATATTTTTCTTTTATAACGCCATTGCAAATATCACGCATAGCTTTTAGTTACATTTCAAACACGTCTCGAATACAACTTCCGAGTATGAAGATATTAATACATTCTCGTACTAAATTCTATTTGAAATATAAATATATCTGACACGATATTGCAGTATCGAAGTTAAAATCATATTGTAGAAAAAGATACAGTAATCAATGTTGACTGTAGTTTTATTATTGTAAATTTTTATCGAACTACTAACCTTGGTTTGTCATTACTTTTGCAAAATTTGATGGTTTCATTGTAAAATATATTCAATTGTAGAGGTTTCCTTATACACTACCAATTGCGACCTACATATGTATATATTAGTAAACATCTGTTTGATGCAAGGTCGGGCGCATCGCACGCGGGTGTAGGCCCGAATTTAACACGCCAAACTCCAATAGGGATGTCTATAAAATATCGATATAATTAAAAAAAATTTAAAACGACTTGTCACTCAATTCAATAACGTGATAAATTCCATAAGTTAAAAATGTAATAGCTGTCGTTATTAACAGTCGGTTTAAAAAAATAGAAAGAAGCTGTCCAATGTACCAAATAGTTCCATTACCAACTCCTGTACTAAAATGACTTGACAGCTACTGTCATTGCATTCTCCCCTAATATGCAAAAGCTATGTACTCATTATATATACCCATTCGATTAGTGTTTAATTTCGATTTTTAACATCGATTTCACCTATCGATGTCGATGAGGAAAATTTTACGAAATCGGTCATTGTGTTGCTGCAACATACTGATGAATCACACGTCGCGGCGCCGACTACGTATCGTGAACCCTGACTGTGTATGACTAATACTTATGACCAATAATAAGGTTATGCCAACGTTAATACTGCTGCCACTACATATAGACAACAGTATTTTAAAAAAAATCTCAAGTGACAATACGCTTGTGAACGTAAGAATACAAATAAAACACTTCACTTATCAAAATTAGTTCATTTGGTCAAAATGATCAGTCTATATTGACTATTTGTATTATACTGTTAACACTGGCCACCGACAAAAGAAGAATTAAAAATGTAATAAAAAGTAAAGTACGATTTGAGGTGTAAAACAAATGCAAGATGTGACATAAAGAAAACAAGAACGTAAAATGTGAGGTCGTGAAATAATTTGTATATATTATGTAAAAAATATTAATAAACAAGTAATAAAAGCTAGATGGTACTAGTTTACATTTATTCCCAAAACACTATACTAGTACATACAAACGCGAGAAAAACGTTTGCGTTTTGAGTCATCCAGATATTAGAAAAAAATATAGTTTAGCTTACTGCTAACATCAAACCATGGCTTATTGTTACCCATAACGAGCAAGTAATCAATGTTTTTCTCTAGGTAAAGATTTAGTTTATTATGCAGATGCTTACGTTCATATGAAAAAGCTTGCCCAATCACAATCTATTTTAGATCGTGCAGTCGTAGTCATACGCGTCATTAGACACGACGCCAGATTCAAATCAAGGTTTCGCGTGTTTACATTTTTAATAAATACGTCTTTCCATAAACGTATCAAAATATCAATAAATATATTTTACATCTTAAACTTACTTACTATCTGAACTGAGACTTGACAACCCAAGGACGTTGCATTATATATTGACTAAAATCACTAATCTGTCTAAAATATGTTTTAACATCTTTGCTTCGATTGTATCAATTTAACCGATTTCAGATCGCGATATCAATCTAAAAACAATCTATTTTGAAGCAATTGAATCAGTTTTTAATCCATTTTTATATAATAATTTTGAGTTCGATCTTTAGGATCGAATATTGATTTCGGTCGTATGTAATAAATCTGGTGTGCCACGCCCTATCAATGTCAATGGCCCTTTGACAGCGGGGCGCCGCATAGCACAGGGTTGCCAGTGCCAGGTGACCGATATTTCAGCCAGACATACGCATTTCAAAAGGGTCTATGTTGTGTTCAAGGGTATTTGTTACACTAAATCGATTACAGAGCCAAGTTACACGTAACTAGCTATTGCCTGCGGCTTCGTCCACGTGAAATAAAAAATGATAAAAACATTGCATACATTACTAACTGATAACGTAGCTTCGTTAGTTGCAAGAATTTTTTAAATCAGTCCAGTAGTTTTTGAGTTATTTAATAATCTACAAATACAAATCTTTCTGCTTTATAATAATAGTATAAAAGTATAGATATAGAAATAGAGAGAGGCAATAATGGGTCGCTAAGATGTAAGTGTAAATTCATCATACTATATATGACTGGGGACTTATCGCCTTTTATTACGGTCGACAAATGGAATGGAAAAAAAAACGGTACAAATATTCAATTAAAAGATACCATATGAAATATATAATAGTATTACCAAAGTTAAAGTAAATAAATGTTATAAACACAAGGATATTACAACAATAAGAGTTAAGAGGGTTCAAAGCCCTCGCGGAGTCCGCAATAAAAATCCGAAAGACAGGCGAGGGTGACTTAACAAAGAGTAATGTTAAACAGACGTAAGTAACAAATAGGAATTGCAACAGGAAAACATAAAATTAAACCGAAATCAACGTTAAATATAGTTTTGTCAAAACATAAGGAAAACAGGCAGTTATTTAAGCATTCAGGATAAATATTGTACATTTTACTTATCTTTCCGTTAGGAAAATTCTACTTTTCCTTTAATAAAGAATAAAAAAAATATTCTCATAAGATACAGATTTCTTTCACTTAC